GAGAGGCCCACGCCGGGAGACGCCCACGCCGGGAGAGGCCCACGCCCGAGAGAGCCTCTTGGTTCTTCAAAGCGGCTTCCCGCGCTCCCTCCTCCTCGCCCTGTGCAGGCAGCCGGCAACCCTGAACTTCTCGGAACCATTTTTATCTCCAATTTTGTCCTGTGTCCCAATCTAAGTGTGAAAAACCTAACTGTTGCAATGACACCCCTCCCCCAAAAAGATGATTTCTGAAACGGAAACGTCACCGTGAGGTTCCTCAGCCTCAGAGCTTCCAGGACAGTCAGACCACCGGTGCCTCGGAGAGCAGGACCCAGTGCAAAAGCCACATGGTGTCCCAGGGCCGTGCCCACACCCATGGAACCAGCTCAAGCCCCTAGGCCCGCACAGGAGCCACGAGTAGTGAGAAGGGTAAGAAGGGGCTCCCCGCAGGCCCCTGCCCAGTCGGCCCCGTCTCTTGTCACTCCCTCTTCACATTCTACCGCAGCCCTTCCGGAAAGACACCGGAAGCCGCTGCTCTCTGGTATTCTGCTCGGCCCACTATAACGTACGTTCCCCCAACGGTGCTACCCTACCGAGACCAGCACAACCGATCCCGACTGTTTAGTGTCTGAGCTCCTTCAGTCGCACTGACAGACCCTCGTCTGCAGCAAGGTTCACACCTGCTCTTCCTGCCGCCTCTACATATCTCCAAAGATCACGTGAGGTCCCCCGGTAACCGCCAAATAAACAGTGAGACGGTCAAAAAGGTAAACTGGCCTCCTTGTCTCTAACACTCTCAGCTTTTTATTACGGATACAAAGCCACAAGAGAAACTGACACGTTGGCCCCTCGGTTCTAGAACTTGAGTTCTGTGGCCAGGGAGGGGAGACGGATGGCCTCGCTCCAGCTTGACCAAAGTCGTCATGATGCGCCTCATTCACCCAGCTGAGCTGGACAGGCACCTGCCCAGGCCCACGTGTCAGAGGTCAGGTCTTATGGGGACCCCCCCTGCCAGCTCCTGCTGGGAACAAGCACACACATGCGCGCACCAACGCCCACACTAAGCGAGACACCAGCCTGCACGCCGGGGACCCGGAGAGCCCCAGGGCCCCGCCGGAGCCTCCAGGTCCCATTGGGAGGACGAGTGAGCAGCGCTCGCTCAGAACTGGGCCCGGTGGCAGCCACAGTCCTGCGAGGCCGTCCTCCAGGTCAGCCGTTGGAAGCACATCCAAATTCACCCCTGCACATCCCCCTGCAGGGGTGTGGTGACAGATAAACGTGCCCACGGCACCAAAGTCCACTAAAAGCACGAGTTAACGTGGCAGTGGCAGCATAGGCGTCAACCTCAGCCCTTACACTGTACTGCTAGGCCGGCTGGCGTTCAGGCCAGGTCAACCGGGCACACGCAGGGCCCGGGTCCCTGTGAATCTGGACGGCTGAGGGGCCGGGACAGAGATCACAGTACGACGGGGCCTTGTCACGGGTGCCTGTCTCTGTCTCACAAATTAAATCAAACAAACTTTAAAAAAAGTCACACTATGGGGCTGGTGCATGGCGTGGTGGTTAGGGGCGTTGAAATCCGTGGCCGACCGCAGTTCGAGTCCGGGACCGGGTGGCTTACTGTCTCACTTCTCTCTCTCTGGTTAAGTTAAAATAAGTAAGTAAAACAAAGTTAAAAAAAGAAAGCCACAGTACTGACCTATTCCCACAGGACTGAAGGTTAAACGGCAACGAGAACAGGAGAAAGGCGATGGGAATGGGTCTACTGCAGCCTCATAGACTTCAATGTGGAAAACAGCGAACAGAAACGAACGTCTGCCCGCGAGGCCGCCGCTTGCCCCTGTGTGCACCCTCGACCAGAGGAGCGAGGGCTCTCGGTTCCCGAACGGCCCGAGACTGTGAGTGCAGGGACTCGCCGCAGCCCAGGGGGGGTGACAGGGCTGCTTCTGACGGGATGGACGGTCGTCTCGGGGCTGCCCACCGTCCACCCTGAGGCCAGCACACTGCTCACTGGCTGAAGAGCGATGCAGCTCGCCCGTACACGTGTGAGGGTCACACTCAGCACCAACGGGAGACACACAGACCTGGATGAAGCCGACCCTGACGGGGGGGAGACGGCCTTCACTAGTTACCACGCTGACAAGTCACCCAGAGAATTTCCAGTGCACACAGGACCCAGCCCTGGGCCGTCAGCGACGGTGCGGTCCGGAGCGCGAGGCCACGTACCATCAGCTGCTCCGCAGACACCTTCAGTGGGACTCGCCAAGCATCTAGAGTGAGAGAGACGGTACTTTTCACAAAGGCACATCGTTTCAACAGAAAAGCCTTTTAGTAAAAGCGGCTTCTGAGGCTGGGACCCCGACACAACGAGGCCTGGTGACGACACTCGGCAGGAGGAGTCGAGCACTTGGGCGTCAGCTCAGAGCATGCCCGGCCTCCGGGAGAAGGGAGGCGGGGGGGAGCCCCTGGCCCCTCTATGGTTGGCACATCTCCCACGGACAGGCAGCGGCAGCTCCCTCGGTGAGCACCGCAGCTGAGCCGGGGTCAGTGCCCCAGTGGGCTGCCAGGCTGGATGCTCCCGGAAGCCCTGAGCCGCTTGGGATCACAGTCTGGCTCTAAGACACCAGGCATGATGAGAGGTGGCCAAGAGCTTCGAAGGACACGCCAAGGTGGGGTGGACTCCCGGGACGGGTGAGCTCGCCCTGGGGCAACGGGACGTGAGCCACACTTGACAGATACTCGGGTCTGTGGTCTCCGGGACGGTTTCCGAGCGGAAGCCAGACCGACAGCAGCGCTAGAGGGAAGAGATGAGGGCTCAAAGTGAAGCGCTTCTCATGATTAGGGCCATCCCAGCTACGGGAGGGGTTTCCCTGAGCAACATCCAGTTCTGTAAACGCAAATTAAAGCCCACTGTTGCAGTACATGCAACAGGGACTGCTCCCTGGACAGTTGTGTCACTACAGGACAGAGGCTGCCTATGGCAGGAGGCACCAGGTGACATCAGAGTCACAGCAAGGCAAAGCATGGCAGTGAAGAAGGTGTCGGTCGGACTTAGGGAGGGGGCCATTTCTGAAAGAAAGAGCTGGCTGGAGACCGGACAGACAAGCAGGCGCTCTGTCCCCCATCTCTGCAGGGCTATCGAGCGCAGAACACCGCCGCGCCACTCCTGGGCAGAGCGGGCGAGGGAGACAGGATGTGGAGGGAGGTGACAGATCATAAACTGCAAAGCCAAAGCATGGACCGGGGCTAGTCCAACCCTGCGTGCAGAAGCTTCTAGTGGCTGACCTGGTCTTCAGTGCGCGAGGCCTGCTCACCTAGGAGGTTGAGGACCAGGTGCTGAGTAGGGGCGAATGGGTCCTGTAGGGTGAAGGCCGTGTAGCGGCTGGGCTGGGTGGGGCTCCGCGGCTCCGAGGTTTAAATACATCCTCTATATACTTATAAAAAAAACAGTAACTTAGGGGAACGAAAGAAAAATGTAAGGAGCATAGACTTTCTCTATTTCTGACTGTGTAATTTATGGGCTAATATTACCTGATCAGATAGGTAGCACAAAGCGTAAGGTGGCAAATAAGAGAAAATTTTCATTATAAATTTATTCAGTCACTCAACTTATATTTACAAAATGCGCACTAATGCTGAGGAAATGTGGGGCATAGAGAATAAAAGAACACATAGACCCTCCTTTCAAAGCACTTAACCTTTACTCAAAGAAGAGGTATGGTAGGTTCATCTTCTATTGTCCTGTGACATAGAACTCTTACACCCAAGGAGCTATGCATTGAGATGCCAGTGGACATCTGAAGGAAGTGTTGACGGTGACCATAGAAATATGTCTCTAAAGACTGAGATAATAGGATACTGTCTAGTACGTTTTTAAAGGTTGTCAAGGTGACAAACTCGTGCTGTTTTCTATTAGAGTTTGTCCTTTTTTAGCTGTTACTTTAGGTAACTGTTCATGCTCTCTGAGCCTCAGGTAACTTCTCTGAAAGATGAGGTAATATCATCTATTTCCTGGGATGGTTCTGAGACTTGCACACAAAGCATGGACCGGGGCTAGTCCAACCCTGCGTGCAGAAGCTTCTAGTGGCTGACCTGGTCTTCAGTGCGCGAGGCCTGCTCACCTAGGAGGTTGAGGACCAGGTGCTGAGTAGGGGCGAATGGGTCCTGTAGGGTGAAGGCCGTGTAGCGGCTGTACTGGATGTGCCTCAGCGCCTCGAAGTTCCCCAGAAGAATGTCACCGAGCCACTGGGCGTTCACACAGGGGATCCGCCACTCCTTGGCCTTTTCATATTTTAAGCCAGTCGGCCTTTTTTTTTTTGAGGAAAAACACATTTACCGTTAGTGCCGTCTTGGTACAAATAGGTCATTCAACCAAAGTCAATTCTGAAGCGTTTCTGAAACAGAATGATAGGCCCGTCTCACCAAGCAAAGCTGTGGTGTCCGCCGGCTGGTGGAAAGACGCCGACTCCAAAAGGCTGGCCCTCGACAGGAGGCCACCCGGCCTCTCTTACCTGACGTGAGCTCAGATTCAGAGCTCATCTAACTGCATGAGCTCATGGGACTCAACAGGGATTTCTGGGGACACTGCCCTGAGTGGCACCTCCGATTCCCGCACCACACTCTCCAACGACACGACAGTAAGAACCGAGGACCTGTCACCATGGCTGCTAGGCCACATGCACATTCGAGTAACCGCCCTGCGGCCCACCCTCACTCTCTGCAGACGCGCCCGCCGCCCACTCACTCTCTGCAGATGAGCACCGTGTTGCTGCGGCACAGGTAGCCTGTGTACTTGGCGCCTGCCAGGTAGGCCATCAGCTTCAGGTCGTCTCTGTCACTGTCGACAAATCCAGTGACAGAAATAATCTACGGAAAAAGGGGCACACACGTGAAAACCCACCAGTGGACCCCAAGGCTGGCTGCCTCCCACTCTGACATCAGGAAGGAGAGCACGGACATGCGACATCATGCAGCCACCCCCACGTCTCTGCATCGCTCGGGGCTCAGGCTAGCACCGTACTCAGCATGGGAGCCTGAGTCAGCCCCCCTCCTGCTCCCGACCCTGGGACCTGAGCGACAGAACCCACAGCTACGACGGAGTTCTGCCCGCGCTGGCCAGCTTTCGTACGCGAGATCTGATTGGTGTTCTGACTCTAAGTGGTGTCAGAAAATTGGGAGAATTTGGGAGCCAGCAGTTGGCGTAACGGCTATGTCTCTGGACTCCCACGTAGTCGACCACGGTTCAAGTCCTGGACCCGGCAGCTTAAACTCACGCTGGGCGCGTGTGCATGCGTGCCCAAGATCCTGAGAGGAGAATGGAGGAGAAGGGATTGCGGCATGACCATCCCCTCTGGGGGGTGATTTCTCGCTTTCTGTCTCTATGTCTGTCCATCTGGCGAGCGCACGCGCCCTATAGCAACAACCTCTCTCTCAAAAAAAAAAAAAAAAAAAAAAAAAAAAAAAAAAAAAGAAAGAAAGAAAAGAAAGTTGGGAGAATCTGTGAGCTACCGGGACTGGCAGGAGCACACGCAAGGCAACCAGGCAGTTCTTATGCTTGGACGCTTATCAGCGGCCCTGGCCGGCACACAGGACGCTGGCTGGCCGGGAGGAAGGGAGCTGAAACACCCACGTGTTGCGCACACGGCTTGCCCCCAGGGGGGAAGGCCACCGGGAAGTGCAGGGCCCGGTGGGGCGGCCCCATCTTCTTCTTCTTCAGGACGGTGTTCAGCCAGTGTGCGGTGACACACCGCTTTCTCTCTCTGATCGCCTGTCAAACACAAAATCGTAGCTCGGTTGTTGAGGGCTGTCCCCCACAAGATTAAATACAAAAGCCGCATAACTACAGTGCCGTCTTTAGTAACAGAACCTCGTTGCACTGGGATTACTCAGCAGCCCACGACAGCCACGCAGGGGTCACTGCCAACCAAGGAAGTCGCCGCCTGTCTGCCTATGAAGGGGAGCTGGCAATGGGCAACAGACAGGGACTCTGTAACAACTTGAAAATGGCTTTGACCACCAATGACATTTGTGATACTCAAAATTAAAAGTCTTGGGCCAGCAGGTGGCGTGGTTGTTAAGGTGCTGGACTCCACCACAGCCAATCGTGGTTCAAGTCCCAGACCTGGCCGCTTGCTTTCTCATTTTTTCTCACTCTCTTTCTGGTGAGCCTTATACAAATTAAAAAAATAATAATAATGATAAATAAAATTAAATAATTATTTTTTAAAATATTAAAAGTCCCCTACAGAACTCAGAGCCTCCTCCATTAACCAAGGAATGAGAAACGTAATCGCCCCAAGACTCAACCCAGGGTAAGAAATGGACCCAGTAAATGGCCATCTCTTTCAAAGAGGCTTCTTGGAGGCCCACTGTCACCTGCACACAAACAGCCATCTGTTTGCAGATGCTGCTCCATGAGGGGGGAGATGCAACCTCAGGAGGACGAGGAGCGCTGCTGCGGGAAAGCGCCCACAGCCCAGGAGACGCTCCGCGGGGCCTCTGCCCTTCAGGCCCACAGGTGAAGCTGCCCGCCACCAGGACCCCACCCCGATGCCACTGCTGTGCAGGGGCCACTTTCCAGGGCCACTGGCACTGACTGCATAGCTCCCTTTCCACCTCTGCCAACCAAAGACTCGGGTCCACACGGGTGTCCGTCCCACAGGAACCGATGAGAACGAAGCAACAGCGACTTCCCAATTTTACTAACGGAACAAGCCCCTGCAGACCCCGTGGCCACAGCCGCCTCACCTGTGCGTACGTGCTGCTCACTTGGCTCTCACAGAGGAGGTGCGTGCAGCGGCTCGTGAGTGTGGGCTCCACAGCACCCCCGTGCACCTGGATTATCTGCATGCACAGGACGAAGGCAGTCAGTGCCCCTCACTCGCGAGAACAGGCGGGATCCCCAGTGAGAAGGGTCTGCCGTGAACCAGCCGTGTCTTTCCTCCAAGGGAAAAGAGGCCCTCACGGCTGCGGTTACCGACTGGGCACTGAGTGAGAGGGCACGTCTCCTCCCTCTGTCCCGCCAGAGAGAAGGAGAAAGCCAGCAGGTTAACGCAGTGCACGACTCCCTCATCCACCCCACAGCTTTGACTTGTCCCTCCCCAAACTCCGTCCTCTGTCCCAGCCTGGCTCCTTGCAAGCCCCTTTCGCCCTGCCCAGGGCTCCCCTCACTCCTTCCAGAACTACTTCCACCCTTGGGACCAGCAGCTGGCGTAACGGCTGTGTCGCTGGACTCCCATGTAGCCGACTGTGGTTGGAGTCCCGGACCCAGTGGCTTAAACTCATGCCAGGCGTGTGTGCGTGCGTGCCCAAGATCCCAAGAGGAGAATGGAGAAGGGATTGCGGCGTGGCCATCCCCCCGGGGGGTTTCTCGCTTTCTGTCTCTCCATCTCTGTCTCTCTGGCGAGTGCAGGTGCCCTACAGCAAAACCTCTCAGAAAAAAAAGAACTCCTTCCGCCTTCTGGCCAGAGCTTGCAACCTGGTCAACCCCACTACCTCTGCCCATGCTGGGGCGGTGCACTTCCTGACCACGTGAATGAAAGCCCCGGTCTCGCTGGACTGGCTGGCTTCACACGTCGCCCTAGGTTGGACATCGCCTGTCCTCGGAACTCTGAAGAAATGGCTCGACCGTCCCCTGGGTCCCCCAGGCTGCACTGGACATGCCTGCCAGGTCCTGGCTCCCAACTGGATGCGCCCCCTCTCTGAGCCTCTCCGTTTCCAGGCACTCACTCCTTCTCAGCCCAGAGCACTTGACCTCCAGCTGGGAACTATTTCCTGCTTTGTCCCTGCCCCCTCACCCCTCTCCTTTTATGCTGGGCCTCTTGGAAGAGCCTGTCCACTCTAAACAGAACCAGCAAACTTCGCTCTTCTCCCTTTGGACCTCTGCGCCCACTCTACATCCAAGGACATTGTTAAGGTCACCTTCTCTTACTCCTACATCCCTTCCAGATCCCTGCTGCTGTGCCCTCGGGGTGCCTGGCTCTGGCTATCGGCCCCGCTCCCCGGCCCGCGGACCCAGAGCTCTGCAGCTCAGTCGCACCCATGCCTACTCCACGGCACCATGTCCACTGCTGTGAGGGCCACAGGGAGGAGCCCGGGGCGGCAGCATGGCCTGCAATGGTCCTCAGGGCCTCGGGAGCCTCCTCCTCTGCCCTCCCCTCATGGGCCCGCCCATTCCTGTCACTGAGCACCTTCGACAGGCCACTCTCTACTTGGAGACCCTCCCCCATGCTTACACCTGTGTTTTAGTCATTTTCTTCGAGAGAGAAGAGAAAGACCAGCTCCCTCAACAAGGTCTCATACCGTGACCTGCCCTCAGCCCTCCCAGCCAGCTGGGTCAGGGTGCACGGGCCCAAGCCCACGGTGCTCGTGGACCCGGTACCGCTGAGCAGTGCTCCGCCCCACATACCGAGCCAGCCCCTCCTCCCTCGACCTGGAAGGCGAGGTGCAGCCATCACCCCTCCCAGGAGCCTCTCCTACACCCCCCACTGTGGCCCAAGGAGCTGCCGACCCTGCTGCCTGCGCTGCCTCACCCAGCCCGACGCTTCCTGTCTGTACGTGCGCCTCCTCCGCCTAGGGCCAGTTTTGCCAGTCAGTCTGTATGTCCAGCAGGCATCCTTAAGACTTGCAACAGGCTTGGCCTCACTGGGGTCTGAAGACCAGGAAT